TGAGTTGATTAAACCATCAGTGGAGTTACGTGATGCCGGATTCTACCTCTGTCGTGTTGTGGAATGTGCGACATGTCCGGGCGAATCATTAACTCAAGCACGGCAGTTTCTTGTGTTTCCCAGAAAACTGAGCATGAACTTGTGTGTGAGTCATGCATCATTTGAACAGAACGAGGTATGTCGAAACAACTATACCCTGATCGATTCGGGGTCAATGTATGCCTATGCGGGACAAACTATAGTATTGCATTGTGCTTACAAAATGCTGACCGCACATATATTCCCACCGTTGGTAAAATTCGCTTTTGTCGAGCAACGACCGAATCAAACATCACACATTGAACGTAATTTTACTGTGCTAACAAGCCGAGATATTTCTTTGGATGAGGGCTTGCATCATTGCAGCTCATACACTACTTCCGTACCAACAGATTTACCAAAAACAGCTCTAATGACAGCCTACTGCCAATTCTCCCTAAGTCAATTACCTAGTCCTTTGGATATCAACACACTGAAACACTACAAAATGCACGAATTATCTCAGCGCATCTTAAACCGGTACCCCAGAACTCCTCGGATTGATGAAAATTCCACCGAAACAAGTAATCCAGAATTGACGCACATTCTCAGAGAGGGCAATACGAAATCGGTGAATCGCACAATATTTTACGCAAACACAAATAGAAGACGAATTCCCGAAGGTATCATCAGTGGGAGCTTTTATGTTGATTTGGGCGTACCCGTCGGAACAGTGGCGGTATGGACCTTATACAGGAACGGGTCCAAACTCATCGGGGATCCATGTGAGGCCAGACCGCGTACAGAAGAATCAAACTCAGAGAATGTATCGGATTATGTTCGCATGCGATTCACTTGTTACGTTCAACCTCCAACCATTGCTCTTCTCATTTACGCGTTCCATACACTAGATTTTGAAACCGCTCAGAGGCCAACAAGTGCCTTATTCTTACCAGGATTGTTAACATCGGTTGAAACGTGGATTAGTGAGAGCATCCCTGAGTCAGATCAACAAGATGATGTCATAAAACCTCCTCAGGGATTGTCCGGTGACTATCAACTCGTTCAAATTCGAATTGGATGGAACTCTGTAGTACAAGTAGACTCATCAATTTACATGTTTGGTCGATCGGAAGGAATACATTCAGCTGAGATCAAATGCTTTCGTCGCTATACAACAGACGGGACTCGAAGACGATTCAATGCAAATATTACACTGTCGGAAAATGGGCGAACATTCTCACTATATCAGCCAAACGCACATTTCACGGATTCCGGGCTATACAGTTGTCCACTTCACAATTGTACATCTGTTCCACGGTGTGTTGGCATAGAGGAACGTCGGCTAATTGTTCTGCCAGACTCTTCGGTCATACAAATGCGAGTTCACTTTGAGTTAGACTCGGTCTGGCGTGAACAACAATGTCAGGCGAATGCGGATGCACCTGTAAAACCGGGCGATGAAATACGAGTCAGTTGTGAGTATCCACTTGCCGAAGGACTACCGTTCAGCCTAAAACATGA